CGAATCAAGAGGAAAATCATAAAAGAAAAGAGGGCGGCAGCTTAAACAGGTGAAATACATGAATGATGTATTTAGTGCTGGTGTGTTGCTTCATGAGCAGAGGTCCTATAACACTGAAGTCAGAATGGAATAGAGGCATCTTCAAGTAATGAAAAAGGAAATTGTAACTTGAAGATTTAAGAGAAATCTTAGAAGTATGTATCAAACCAGCAATATGTCTCCCTACCTCTCCGTTCCAGAACCAACACAGCTATTTACTACATTATGAGAAAAAGCACTAACCGGTGCTGTATGTCTGGCCGATAAAAATAGTCAATGGGAGTGTCCAGACGTGAGAAAATTGGTGGTGGGATGTAGAGAGGTAATTCTCTGTTGAAAAATTCCTCCTTCTCTGGTTTAAGCATTAGGACTTTGTCATACATGGAAGTTTGTTTGCCATCAGGACCAGAGTGCATTGCCAGGTACTGGAAATCAGACATTCCTGTGAGAAACGAAAGTCAAAACATTGTGGAGTTCATTGTGAATTCAACAGTATTTCTCACAACACTCAACTTCCAGGAGCAGGAGTCTGGTAAGTTTATGCAAAGGTTTATACAGCAAGGCTGCTGTAACAACAGGACACTTCATTTTCCTTCCAGTCCTGAATTGTTTAAAGGGAAACACTTCCCTTTCCCATCAGACATACTTGTCTTTAAGCCCCGTGGACACAAACCCAAATATTACCTTGAAATTTGTAAACGGTGGTGACAGTCCCAAGAATTTCCATTTCAAACTGGACTTCTGGCTGGATTTGTTCTTCGGTGTCCAACTGCTGCTTCTTCTTCTTGGTTCTCCTCTTCACCTTGAGCAGCATGGTGGAGGTGGGGAAGCGATTAGCACATACGGGATGGCAGTAAGGGTCCTTGGGGCGGAAATACAGCTCCAGCCTTTTGGCAGGGTCCGCGTAGATCTGTCAGCAAGGGCAGGCAGGGTCTCGGTTAGCACCGCACCCGCACAGCCCGTCTCCCCGGGACTCTGCTGCCAGCCCCGGCCCCAAACCCTCAACCGTGGCCACCAGCCGTTTCCCCTCACACCACCTCGGGGATACGAACCCCTGCTCCACCAACACCAGCAGCACATCAGGGGGACGCAGAGCCGCTCCCATCCCACCCGACACCTCCCGCCTTCTCTCTCGCGGCTCAGGCGAGAGGCAGGACCCCGAAACCACGCGTGGAGCCTGCGTGGGGACATGCTGGGCCTGAACGGCCCCGGACAGGGGGGGTCCCACAGCGGGGGGGGGCTCCCTGCTCCCTGGCCC